TGCGTGGATATCTCGACTCATGAGGCTTCAACTGCCTCGAAGCGTATGCTATCAAATGACCCCTCTGCATAAGTACCGCCCCCAAACCCGATATAGAGGCATCACAGTATACCAAAAAATCCTCCATCCCTTCCTGGAGTGCAAGCACCGGAGCCTCGCACAATTTCTGACGAAGCGTCTCAAATGAAGACTGCTGCTCCGGTCCCCATGAAAACGCAACACCCTTCCGGGTCATCCTAGTAAGTGGCACAGCGATCTTGGAGAATCCTTGATAAATCTGCGGTAATATCCAGCCAAACCCAGAAAACTCCTGATCTCGGTGGGCGATCTCGGCACCTCCCACCTCAACACCGCCTCAATCTTGGCCGGGTCGACCAATATCCCCTTCTGGTTCACAAGATGCCCGAGGAATTGGACCTCTCGTAACCAGAAATCACACTTGGAGAACTTGGCATACAGTCTCTCCGATCTCAAAACCCGAAGAATCTCCCGCAAATGTTCCTCATGCTGGTCCCTAGTCCTCGAATACACCAAAATATCATCGATGAATACGATCACCGACCGATCCAGCATCGGTCGGCACACCCTGTTCATGAGATCCATGAATGTGGCCTGGGCATTGGTGAGCCCAAAAGGCATCACCATAAACTCATAATGTCCATAACGAGTCCTGAAGGCAGTCTTTTGGATATCCTCCTCGCGAACCCTCATTTGATGATATCCCGACCTCAAATCAATCTTGGAAAACCAAGATGCCCCCTGCAACTGATCGAACAGATCGTCGATCCTAGGTAACGGGTATCGGTTCTTAATCGTCAGCTTGTTTAACTCCCGATAATCGATACACATCCGATGTGAACCATCCTTCTTCTTGACGAACAAAATCGGCGCTCCCCAAGGCGAACTACTTGGTCGAATGAATCCCTTCCCCAACAGCTCCTGAAGCTGCGAGGATAATTCCTGCATTTCCAGTGGAGCGAGAGGGTAAGGCGCCTTGGCGATGGGCGCCGCTCCCGAAACCAAATCGATACGAAACTCCACTTGACTTTCTGGAGGCACACGTGGTAACTCCTCAGGGAACACATCCGCAAACTCGCATACAACCGGAACGTCATCAATCGAATTGGGCCTCTCCGCGGTCACACGAGTATCCATCACATAGGCTATGAATCCATCACAGCCCTGCTGCAGACTCTGCCTTGCCCTGGCCGCTGAACAAAACGCCGACCCACACCGGGTCCCTTCGCCATAAACTGTGAGTACTCCCCCACTAGGGTCTCGAATCATCACCAGCTGTCTCTCGCAGTCAATGAATGCTCCAAACTTACTCAACCAATCCATGCCCACGATAATGCAAACATCCCCCATAGCTATAGGGACCAAGTCTATAGGGAACTCGAGCCCAAAAATCTCGAGCATGCATCCTCGAATCACCTCGGTGGCGTATACCGCTCTCTCGTTTGCTATAGCAACTCGCAGGGGATGACTCATCGTCTCCCGATCGATATCGATGTGCTGGCTAAAAGCCAACGAAACAAAGGATCGACTCGCACCTGAGTCGAAGAATACCCAAGCAGGCACATGATTCACAAGAAAAGTACCTACGCAGATTGTAATATAAGCATAATATCTCAGCATAAATGTAAATACATGAAAGAATACATACCGGCCACTACATCAGGCGCCGTGCGGACCTCCTCCGCAATCAACTGGAAAGCTCTCCCACGAGCCTTCGGGGCCTCGGTCTTCACTGGCCGAACCTCAGGAACCCTGGCAGCAGGCAAAGATCCCTGGCGAAGCTGGGGGCATTCGGCCTTCCGATGGCCAGTCTGGTTGCAATGGAAGCAAACCATAAATCCCTTGGGGGAATCCCTCGCAATGTGCCCCTCCTTGCGACACTTGTAGCAAGCACCCGATCGACATGCCCCCTCGTGACCCTTGCCGCACTTCTCACAAGTGCGGCTCTTCTATCCTCCGGATCTCAAATCAGCGGACTTGGTCCGTTTGGCTGCTGGCTGCGACTGAGCCGGCCGCCGATCCACCCGTTGAGACTCGACCTCCTCCCTGGCCTGGGTCTCCAACTCGATCTCCCGCTTTCTGGCATTCGCCTGAAGCTCAGCAAAAGTATGATATGACGAGTTCGATACGAACTCCCGGATGTCTCTCCTCAGCACTCCCAAATACCGGCTCATCCGAGCCTGCTCTGTGGACACCTGCTCGGGGCAGAACATTGCCCTCTCATGAAACTTCCGCATGATCACTGAAACCGAATCGTTACCCTGCTTGAGGGTCAAGAACTCCTGAACCAATCGTTCCCTCTCTACCGGGGGAACATACTCGTCTCTGAACATAGCAGTAAATCTCTCCCAAGTCATGGCTGAAACCTCCGCAAGAGTGAAGTTCGCCGTCACGAACTTCCACCAATCCTTTGCTCCCAGGCGGAGCTGGTTCAAGGCGAACTGCACCCTCAGATGCTCCGAACATGAACAAGTATAGAAGCATCCCTCAATATCAGCAGTCCACCTCATCGCAGCAATCGGATCCTGCATCCCGTCAAACTCTGGTGGTTTCGTGTTGCTGAACTCCCGGAACAGCAACGAGTCACCCCCCTGTGGTCTGGCAGCAGCCACAGCTGCGGTAGCTGCAGCGGCAGCAGCCTCAGACAACGCGGCGTACCGCTCATCAAATGTCTCCATCAGCGTGGTCTTAATAGACCCAAACATCTCCGGAATCTCGGCCCGGATCGCTGCAGCTACCTCCTCATGAATCATCTGACGAAGCTCCTCGTCAGTCACTCTACTCGTGCCAGGTCTGTGTCGTGGTCCAACCATGATGTCTCTGAAATACAACATAAAAATATCAGAGACTCTATCGGGCAAAATTGCACTCGATAACGCAGTCCTACTCAGTCTCCGATACTCAGGGGTTCTTACTTGGGCTGCCTACTGACCCGGTGTCCTTGGTAGTACGGGCCCAATACTACCAATTACACCGCGTCGGTATTCACCCCAAGTCCTCCTCCCCAAACCCCGAATCCTGAGCACTCTATTCTTATCATACTCTAGTTACTCACTCGCTCTCGAGCACCTCATAGAAGCAAGTTTCCCTAGACTAAGGCATCACAAGATCAGGCCACTCTAGTCCTAATAAAGCTTAGTGAGTTCCCAAAATACAACATACGCACATACGCCTTTCCAGGCCTTGACCTTCCAGTCCATGTGTCTCAGGGGACTTCCGTCCCAACTGGGTAAACCTTCCGGTCCTACCCACGTCAACACTTATAGTCCATATGACCACGCCTTCCGGCCCATATCAAACATATCATACATGACACATATAGCAAATAACTTAACACACATAAGGCATATATTTCATATCATATTCGACCTTCCAGTCACACAGTCAAAACCCTTCCGGGTACAGTATAGTGAGAAGACTCACCTCGTATGCCTCGCTAAGTCGCTAATCGTGAATCCTGGAATCACTCGGGCTCGAACCCTTGAGCTGCAATCCTCCTATGATATTATAAATCTATAATTATTACTTGTACCACTAAGGTGGACCATCCATATCAAGTCAACACAGGTTGACTTGGTCAGCAGTCTTTAGACAATTTGGACCAGACTCGGCGAGTGCACAATAGCGACTCGGCGAGTCTACGTGTTTTTACCAACTCTCAAGAATTTTCCCTTTGACTCGTCGAGTACTCCCCTGACTCGACGAGTTCCACCTGGGCCTGAATCGCAGGGCCACCGCGACTCAACTCGCCGAGTCGAAGGTCAACTCGGCGAGTCCCAACCTGACTCGGTCCACCTGTCAAAACCTTTCCAACTCTCTGCGACTCACTGAGTCGCCCACAACTCGGTCCGGACTACACACAGGATGGTCTCAAGGACAATCTTCAAGCGACTCGTCGAGTCTGTTCTTCAGACTCGGCGAGTCCATGCCATGCACCAGCTAAAACTGGCTTTTGCGGTCAGATCCGTTCCATACATACATAGATCTGGCCTTCCCAAGCTTATTTGTCACGTAAAGTCTTAGTCTTGGTTGCCATGCAATGCATACAAGGCTTACTTTGAAGAAACAACCACTTATTTGGCAAGTTTAGCTTCTAACTCAAAAGAATGGACATAAAGCTTGTCATGAGGGGTCTCCTGGACCTGCTTAAGTCTAGATCTAGGTTCCATGTCTCCATGGGACCTCTCATACTTCTTATTCAAGCCAAGAAATGCAAGAAGAAACCCTAGATTTGGCCCAGCAACACAAAACACGAAGATTGGCTCAGAAAATTACCTCAAGAAGACCCCCTTGATGAAATAGCAACAGATCTAAGCTCCCCAACACTTCAAGCTTGCTCCTCTCCCTCCTTTCCTTGCAATATCACACAAAATGATGAACAAAAGGCCTTCAAACACACTCACAAGGGCTTACAGTCGTATGGAGGCTCTTAGGGTTCAAGGTGGCCGCATATGAGGGCCATAAGGTCCTTTAAATAGGGCTTAGGACCGGGAAATTAGGGTTTCATCAAACAGCGCGGACTCACCGAGTCCATCCCATGGACTCGCCGAGTCCGGATGCGAACCCCCGCTCAAAACGCGACCCGACTCGACGAGTCGAAGGTCAACTCGCCGAGTCCCCTCACAGAATGACAAAAATATATGAAATGAAGATACCTGGGGATTCGGGCTGTTACAATAATCATAAATTAATAAACAACCCTTTGCCTTTTTTTTACGGTTTTTATAGACCCAATCCCACTTATCCGCTCGGTTCATATCAATACCCCCTCGTTGAAAATCCACCTTGTCCTCAAGGTGGAAACCTGGCAGTTTTTGCAGTTTATCTTCTCTTTGTCTCTTTATCTTCCTCTTCCTCCCCTTCTTCATCATCCACCAACAATACCTGAAGGGTTTTCTCTAGGCAACGTTGACTTGGACCGAACTTCTCGTTGCATCGAAAACATAACCCTTTGGCTTTCTTATCCGTGAATTCAGTGTCAGTCATTCGTCGAAAGGGGTGTGCATTGCCACTGCTTCTGTTGTTGTGTTATTAACTGTGCTTAGCGCATAGTTCACATTGACTTTTATACTTCCTTTGTCTGACCCCATGATTGTTCTAGTTCCGTTCTCATCTACCACAAGTGCCAACTTCATCGCCTATCCAAACCCATGTGGTTGCAAGATCTGAACCGACTTGCACAAGTCTGGTTTCAACATCTTCATGAAATTCCCCTCTAAAGTTGACTCTTGGATGCCCTCGAGCTATGCAGCCAACTGTTCAAAACGCCCCACGTATTCACGGGCCGATCCAATCTAGCGTATGTCTAAAAATTGTTTTTGCACACTACCCTCCTGTGACACCTGGAAACATTCCTGTAACCTATTATTTAAATCTTCCCAACACCAGAAAAGCATCCGAGTGTCGCTCCATCTATACCATGCCTATGCTAGCCCTTCCAAACATACGACTGTTGCATGTAGTCTCTCACCCGACGTTGCCAACCCTTGCATATCAAACAAACGTTCCGCTTTATAAACCCACCCGTAAACATCTTCCCATTCAAATAGAGGCATCTTGAGTTTTCTCAATCTATAATCCACGTTTGGGACCCATCCCCTTCCATATCCTAGCTTAGACCCAAAGTATGGTCCCATTCGAACGGGTTGCGTGGCCAGTTGTTCTTCGATTCACCAACCCTCCCCCGCATATGCACGAAATTTGGTGTCGCTTGAACCAGATTCTAGACGCATATTATGTGGAGGAGTTGGATACCCATGTTCGTCATATTGAAGTGTTGACGTGATCCAGGGCAGTTATGTGTAGATGATAGGGGTTTATGGCCATCCTCCTATTCCTAGGCGTTGGTGATTTGGAGGTGGCATCGAAAAATTCGGGGGTGGCAGCGATTTAAGAATGGGTCGATATGTGGTGATGGGTGGTGGTAATGATTGGATGATTGGTGGTAGTTACGTGACTGACATCGGATCTATGGTGGTAGCGGGAGGCGGTTGGTGGCAGGTTGGGCCACTTTAATCAGGAGTGCCATAACTTCTGCATAGCACTGATCAGCTAAGGTTTGATGCCTTTCTAATTTGGTACTGATCTCTGCTAATTCCTACTCCATCTTCTTAATCCGATCCCATGAGGAACTCTCTACCAAGACTGATTCTTTATTCAAATTCCGGGCAGTAGAATCAGATCTGGTGTCGAGGTTCGGCAACGTGCAGTAAACGACGTGAATAGTGTTCGGTGAACAGTAAACGACGTGAATATTGTTGGATGGATGGGAACCGCATGAACAGTTGTAACAACCCGAAATTTTCGCTTCATTTCAATGTAACTTTTTCATAAATCAACTCGCGCAACCGATCGTCGTTCCGATTTCCGATTTCCGATTTCTCCGTTTAATTAAGTCATTAATTAGTACACATTTAAAAATGACTTAATGGGTGTCTTAATATATTTAGAAATCATTTTAACACTCAACTTTAGTGATCGGAATAATTCTAAAATTTACCGTATCGGGTTACGGTAACTCAATCGGGTACGACCAAAAACCCCGTCTAACGCCGGTATCGGGTAAAATTCCACCGTGTCCAAAACTTAAACGCTATATAAACGTGTTTAAGACTTCATTTGAAGCCTTTGGCCAATTTCTCACTAAACTCTTACAGCCTCTCTCCTCAAGCTAGAATTAAGGTCCAAATCACAAGTTTAAGGCTTCAAATCTTTAAGGTAACCTCCCTAACATGTTATTCAACACCTTTAGCCTTCAAATTGATGAATTAATTGAGTTTTAGGGCCAAGAACATGAGTTTACGGCCAAGGAACAAGCTTGGGCCGTAAACTCCATTTAATGGGGTTTTAAGCCCTTAAACTCCCTCCTAAACTCAATTGGACTTTAGATATGGCTATGGGACTTCAAGATATGGACTTAGAACATTTAAAACTATGATTTTGAGCAATTTAAAGGAGTTTATGGCCAAGGCATAAGCTTAGGCCGTAAACTCAAGTAAAAGGGGTTTTTCATGCCCTAAAACCCTTCCAAATCACTCCTATGGCTTAGATATGAATTGTAGGACCTTGGTTTTAGCATTTGGACACCTGAAACATGAATTTTGTGGGATTTATGTGAGTTTACGGCCAAGGATAGTGCTTGGGCCGTAAACTCCCCAAAATGTGACATAAACCTAATTCTAAAGTGTTAGAAAGCCATCCAACACCACCAAAAGACTTGGAATAAATCAAGGGACCAACCAAAAATGCTTTAAGGGTCTAAAACACATCATTTGTGGGACTTATAAGGGTTTACGGCCAAGGCTTGTTCTTAGGCCGTAAACTCCAAAACTTTTGGTGTTAGAATGCAAACTAAACACCCCTAAAGCCTTTAGATGAATTTTAGAAGCCCTTCTATACAAGTTTTAGACCTTGAAACGCTTTGTATGACCCTACATTAGAGTTTACGGCCATGAGGAGGGTCTCATGGGCCGTAAACTCCATAACACCCCTGAAATGTCACATAAAAATCATACTAGGTCTTGGAATAATCTTATGAATCACATGTGATTTGTTTTAACAACATTTGACACCCATTTCATGAAGATTAAGGAGTTTATGGCCAGGAGCCTATACTGGGCCGTAAACTCCCATAAAATAAGCATTTTGATGATTTAAGTTCAGTCCAAGTGTTCCAAGACAATTTAGAAAATCGATTCTAGCAACCTCTAGGTCCATTTGAGCCCTTAAACCCTCAAAACCACACCAACATGAGTTTACGGCCGTAAACTCATGTGTGAGTGTGTTTCATGGTTGTAAACTCATTTAAATGTTTACTTATGGAGAGTAAACTCATGTCCCAAGTCCCTAGTGCCATTACAAGTCCGAAGATGTCACCCGGGTCACTCCAAACGCTCATTTTGAGGTGTTTAACCTCATTGGAGTGTAATGTTCCATATGATTAGTGAATGTATCTCTAATTGTATATATATGGACATTATATCATTTTACATAGGGTCATCGCGAGTAATCAAACCCCGAACCAACGTCTAGCATTCAAAACCGACACGTTTCCGAGTCCCGTGAGTTCATACCCCTACCCTTTTTCACTGTTTTCATTGTTTTCAGGGGGGGGGGGGGAACACAAGAAAAGTACAAGGGAATTCTTGTACTCATAACATGTTTTCAAATATGTGTTTCATATTCTTATGATTTTAAAACTGATAACTACAACTGATAACAGATCGAACATATAGATCACGTAACATATATTTGTGAAATAAGTCTTTAAACTAGTATGTTTTACATGTATTTCACAAATGGTTTTCCACATTTTGTCAGTTAAAAGTATGACATTAAAACATTTGAATATAATACCTATACACTGTTTTGTCCTCGGTAACACTCCACGCACATACGCGAGTGGAGGACTTTCATATTATTACTAGTAAATTTGTTATTCCGGTACGATTGGAGACACGTCCTCGGAGAACACTCCACCTGGATTACGCGAGTGGAGGACTACACCCATAACCAGAATCTCTGGTATTTAGAGAGCGTGACTTGAGTGTATAGATCTATACGGGGCTGACTACCCCACACCTGGCTGCTAGCTACAGCCGAACCGAAATGGTTCAAGGATGACGAAAGTCATAAGTATGTGGACGACTTATTGCCACATGTGGACTACTTATTGCCACAGGTTTCAGTCTATTGTATGGTTATGGAACTCGCAATTAGGATAACAGAGATTTACTTACAGTAATAATGGATTACTTTATACATCGTTTACATCGTTTACATCTTTTACTTACTGTAACTAACATTCAGGAAGGTACGGGACCTTCCTGGGGAAAACATGGAATCTAATCACGATTACATCTTTTACATCTTTCACATCGTTTACATAAGATACATACATGCAGGAAAGCATGGGGCTTTCCTGGGTAACACTTACATAACTAGAAAGAGTCACAGAATGGATAACATTACATCTTTTACAATTTGTAACACACAATAAGGAAAGTATGGGACTTTCCTGGTAACACATGATAAGTAAACAGAACAGTTCAACCAGTCAGATAACCAACTATACATTTTCACATGAGTAAACATGTTTTCAGTGTACAAACTTACTATACTTTACAATTGTGAAACAATAACCAACTTTTAAGAAAATACGGGATTTTCTTGGTGTACATAACATTTCAGAAACAGAAAGGAAACCGATACATTTTCGTAATACAAAACCGCTTATGAACTCACCAGCTTTATGCTGATTTTCAAACCGCTTGTGTTCTCAGGTCAGCGTTAGAACAGGTACCCGAAGTTCCTTTTGCATGAAGACGGTGTACAATGAAGACTCGTTACATTTTGTCTATATATACTATGTATCACAACTGTACAAACTTTACTTTTGAAACAACTGTAAAACTGTTATTATGTAATGTAATGCTTGTTTTACTTTACTTACTATGTACATTGGATTTGATACTCAATACGGTAGTCAACCCCGGAAATGTATTCCGCCTTCGGTTTTCGGGGTAAATTCTATAATACCTTACTTTATACATTAGGGATGTATATAATTATTATCCGATAGGCAGTTGGGACATGTGCTTTCCGCCTTACTCCTTGTTCCTTGTTTGGTTGTGGGCTTATGGTAGATTCACCCATTTAACGGTCCGTTCGTTATTAGATCATACATAACTTGTATAAAATACGTGATTATAAAAGGAACTATTGTGGTTAATATTTTTATTAAAAGAAATATATGATTTTCTTAAAGAATGTTTTCATCAAATATAAAAAACTACTGTAGTTAACTCTGTAAGCACCAATTGAATACGCCAGGGTTATATACATTGAATATCAAACAGACAGTGGGATGTGTGACTTCAGCCTCATCCGCTGTTCCTTGTTTGGTTGTGGGCTTAGCGTACATTCACACATTCGATTGTCTACTTACTCTAAATTGTATATAGCTTGTATCCATTTAGTACTCATAGCAGGAATTGTAGAGTCATTTTTTACTTTCATTCATCTTATCAGGAAATATAGGATTTTATGGAGGAACATGCGACCTTTTCTATAAGAACTTAAAACATACTTTACATCACTTAAATTCTTATGAACTCACCAGCTTAAATGTTGATCCTCTCTTTAAAAATAATTTGTATTCTTACGAAACTAGCAGACAGGTACGAACACTGGTTTTTAGAAGATGGATTATAGTAGTCTTATGTCTTGTTTTAGAAGATGTTTTGTTATTCTTAGGAAACTAGCAGACAAGTACGCACGCTTTGTAAACACTTTAATATTAAAACAATGGTTGTTTGTAACTTTGATTACTATGATGCATGTGTTGTGATACTAAACATGACATCCTCCACCCACGAACGTTTCTGCTGTTTCGGTTTGGGGGTTTGACAGATTTGTATCAGAACATTGTTTATAGTGAATTAAGTATATCAACCTATAAGAGATACACAACTTTAAATACAATGGAGTCGAAGTGCTCTGAATAATAATATATTTTAAATATATTAAAATACTTTATAAAAGTATACATACATGCTTATACATATATACATACTAGAACAAGTATCACAAGAAGAACAGAACATAAGTATGTTTAAAGGTTGAACATTGCGGTCAA